TGAAGCTGTGTCAGTGTGTAGAAACACACTCAAGCTATACAAGGCCATAAAACAAAGAAAAGGCCTGACTTTTGAGGCTAGTGGTCGTGACAGTCACCTAAAAGGGAGGAATCTTTCATTCTGATCATTACTCCAAGGACTAGAAACAGTATCATTTACTCCATCTGTACATACATGTCTCAAAATGTGTTTTATCACACATATTAGTCAGAAAAACATTTAGTGTGTTGCATCCATGACAGCTAGGCATTTTTATTAAAAACCATTTATAGTATTGTTTCCCTGAAATGACTGTGAGAATCAAGTGCATATGGAAAAAAAAAATGAGCAATTGATATCATTACAAGACTATAATTACTACAGGAAGAGTCTCTGAAACATGGCAAAAGAAAAAAAAATCAAAAACAGTGGAGTTTGATAAATGTCTTTTGCAGATGTAGGTGATGGAACTTAGGAATTCTTTGCTCCAGTTACAGCAAATTTGGACTATCAAACCTCCTCCCACTTCTGCGAGACCATGAACTTTTCAAGAAATTCAAGTGAAGTGCAGAGCCCTACAAACAGGAAAGCGGTCTCAGACATCACATTCATATAATTTCTTCTGTAAATGAGATAAAATATTATTGCAAGGCTTGAACATCTTGCAGGAGAGGTGCTGTGGCCATGGGTCTGTGTTACAAAAGCAAGGGATACCAGCCTCACTTAGGGTGAGGCAAAGAAAGAATCGGCTGTTAATTTGCAGTGAAAAAAACTTACTTCTTTCTCCAGAGTCTTATTATAGAAAAGAAGTGATATTCTTTGAATATCTTCAGATTTAAGCCACTGCCTAGAAGAGAAAAGGAACGTTATTAATTGATATAAGAATATAGTAGTCCTGTCTTTTTATATTACTGAAATGCAGTAAAGTAAGAAAATCACTTTGAATAAAGCAAGTTCTTGTGTATTGCCATGTATATGGTGAATTGCACAGACAGTAAAAGCAGAAACTACAAATCCTCTCTCCGTTTTGACTTCTATTGCTAATGTACACATGAAACAAAAGCTCAGATGAACCATTTTTTCCATGGATCATTCTTAAGGACCATCATGGGAGAGATTTATATGATGGAAATCTGACACTGATATTCCACTCATGTCCAAAATAATGTAGTATATCCAGTGCACAGAAGAGAACCTGAGATAAAAAAGGTCCTTCACAAAGTACCTTTAAGAAGTGCAGTGTTACATGCAAGAGTAGCAGGTAAATTACACCTTAAAAATTCCTATTCTGAACAAAAATGTAAAACAACATTATTAAAAGAGGTGGAGTGATTTTGTCTTTGAGCTGTATTAGTCTCTTGACCATGACCCTGTACTCCAGATGTAGATTTTGATCTTTTTACTGATTATAAAAACTTCTTCCCTGCTTAAAGATGAGAAATACAAAATAGAATAAGTACTTGCATTGAAATGACAAATCTATTTTAAAATAAATGAATCTTGACAAAAGCTTGACATAACTTCCACAAAATAAAATGTTCTAATATGAAAGTCTACATTTATTTTAATGGACACTTGAAAAGAAACCGAATATTTAAATTTCAAGAGGGTTAGGTTGCTTGTACTTCAAGGGGACTAGAAAAATTTGAAAAATTATTTAAGCAGACTACTTCTGTGAACATGCAATATCTGACCTTGAACAATAATAACAGGGCTTGAGATTTTTTTGCAACCTTTCCTGCAGTAACTTTGAATTAGGCTCTAAGCTAGTAAGTGTAGCTAAGGCCTTCTAAATAAAAGAGAATGTCTCAACTGACAGGCTGCAATGCAAATAAGTAGCAGCAATGAACCATGGTGGAATATATCCTAAATTAAGGTCCTGGGAGAACAGGAGTGTAAGCTGTTAGCTTTGATTTGTGAAATCTAAAATATTTGTTTCCTTGCCTGGAAGACTGTCCCTGCTCCTGTGCAATCAGTTTCATTATAAAAAAGGGGCTGAAAACATATTCAGTTCTAGGTATGCTTTAGTCAAAAGCATATTTCCAAATTTGCTCTGCAATGGCTCACATCTACGTCTGATCACAGCTAGGATTCTGAGAAGAAACAGATATGGTAGGCTGCTGTACATATAGCATGATTTTATTTGGGCTCAGCTGTAATCTACTGGAGAAAACATTGTGGAACATTTTTGGTAAACTGTGAAAATTAAGTGCAGGTCTTTTTCCATTTAGTTATAAAAACTGAACAAGGAGTAATCCTCTTCTCCAAATTGTTAGCTATTTCCCTTTTTTTCCTTATGGTATCTAACAGGCAGACTGATTTAATTACCGTTACCAAACTGCTAGAAAGTTCTGTCTGCAGATCTACTCCCAAAGGCCTAATTTGGTCTGTACACACTTGACTGCATGTGAAGTCAGGAGTGCCATTTAGAGCAAATGCTGCCTCATACTCCACATTACGAGCTCACATTTTCAGGAGCTTTTAGTTCTACTTTTAAGCTCAGAAAAAACTGTACTGGTTTTAGGTAGCAGGTGCCAAGAGGTCTGAGATGAGGGAAATGGTGTAACACAGACAAATGGAAGTGGAGAGTAAGTACAGAAGAGGGAGCACACCCTTATACACCTTTGGCACAGAGGTAAGGGATGAAAAATTTTGTCTACAGTCTGACTCCTGGGTGAGCCTAAAAGTTACCAAAGTGTCTGCAAGTACATGGGAATATGCCTCCTGGGAAGCTAGGTACCGAATTTCTGTTTAAATTCTTTTGCTGTTCAAGGAAAAACACAAACAGACAGCTGAATTCTGCCTGTATCCACAGAGGCATGTGGTTTGACAGGGCTTGTACTGATTGACAATGTACAGCAAGGAATTATGCACAGAACATAGAAGCCACCACGACTGGAGAGGAAAGAGAGTGTGTCTCTTTCTTTAACTTAACAAAGAGCAAACTTTAGTTTAGCTCCCTCTGTAGGTATATATTTAGGTAGCAAGTTGCTGTCCATCCATCATATGTCCTACCGAAGTCCCCCAACCACCAAGGTTCAGGGTGGCACAGCCAGGGGTACTCATCCCCCTCCTCTGCAGGGTGGGCACTCTGCAGCCAGGAATACTTTGTTCAAGGTACAGGGAAAGAAACCGTGGAGAAAGTATGATGTTACACCCTAATGGCTAAGGCTCTCAGCTGAGAGACAGCAGCTCTTGCTCCTCACTCGCTCTTTTAAATCTGTACTTGCATATCCTTCAATGTAGTGCTCTGACAGAACGATAATGAATGAACAGGTCCTAACTTCCCTCACACAACTTCGCAAGGAGCATTGCCAACTAAATCCACTGCCCTGAATCATGCTGTAAGGCCAGCAGGCTGCTTTTTAGATGCCACAGTTTCATTTGCATTCCAGAAGAAGGAACTGAACCCAGATGCCGCAAGTTACTGACAGGGTGTGCATGTGGTGCTTGGCAGTTTTGTGGAAAGATAGCTAAGCTGGCTTGTGAACCAGCAGGAGAGCAATGAGAGAGGGAGCCCAGAGAAAAAAGCTACACTGCTTTAAAAACCGCAGGTACCATTTCAATATGTACTGCACTATAAACACAGTGATTCATCTGGACTACAGCTATGTCTTGGCCTAAGAAGATCCAGACTCTACATCCCCTTATCTTCCAGTTACTGGCGGTTAAACACCTGGGCATGTAATGCCCAAAGACCCACATATTATGACCATTTGCTTACAATCAGTCACTTTTTTCACAGAATGACACATGGCAAAGAACCATGATGTGGATGAAAAAGCCAGACCATGCTGACAGCTCAGGGTGGAAGAAACAATGGCTCTGTACAGTGAATGTTTGCTTTTGAATTACTTTCATGCAATTTTCTAATGAAAAAGGTTAAAAGAATGGTGATTTTAATACCACATTTTATGTGCAATAACTTTTTTAATTTTCTTCATTCAGTCATAGACCTATTCACTATACAATCCAAACTTTACACTTAAAAAGTCTTAGAAATACCAATTTTCTCATAGATTTTCATAAAAAGTTTGCTTCTTGATTCACAAAAGCAAAATATTTAGCTTTACAACCACTTCATTAGATTATCTGATAGTGTTACTTTCATTTTACAGACGAAAAATTGAGGCATAAAAAGCCCCACACAATTATCAAGAAAACAAAAACGTGATTACTTTTGCGTACTAAATGTAGGAAAATTTTAGTCTAATTTTTCTGAGTGCTTAGCATTCACATAGGTAAAATACTATTGAGTTAACCTGCCATTTGGAGAATTGGCACTTTTGGCAACTTATTCTCAGGCACCCAATTGAATGACATTGTTTAAACGACTCATTCATTAAATCAATACAGGGATAGGTAGAGAATCTAGTTTTGGAAGGTGGCATTCAGCCTCTCTGATATATAATATCATTCCTTATCGTTCTGCAATTCCCTATGTAATTCATAAAATGCACTTATTTATTTAAAAATCAACTTTTTCAGAATTTTTTTTTATCACACAGACATCTTTCTCATCCCCAAGTTTCTCTGAATTTTATGCACTAGTCAGGTAAGACAGGGATTCTGTGAGATAAAACAGCATACAATATGATCATACCAATACTTTATTTTAATGCATTTATACAGATGCTTTACTTTTGACATCAAGCCATCGTTTTCACACTCCACTTACTTATCAGAGCAAGTGTACATAATTGTACATGATTATGAAGACACATAAAAACTGCCAAAATTTATATAGCTGTTTTAGGCAAGTCTAGTATAATGAAAAGGCTCTGCCTATCACATGTTCGCTATATGACCTATAACTATCAACATTCTTTTCTATAAAAATAATAACTGAAAAATATTTTCCTAAAGCCAAGTACCTTTTCATAGACTATCAGATGAAAAAAAACAAATGTGACATATGAGCATTTAATAATTAGGTGTGATATCCAGCTGATTAAGATTCTGAGTAACAGAAGTAGGGGGGAAACCATGTAATTCATCACAATTATTGTCCACATCTTATTTCATCAGATAAATATAAGAAAACTGAACACTTATTTTGGACTGGTATTGATTTTTCTCTTAGTCTTATCTATTCACCAGCAAATGGAGAACATCAATACCGCCTCCAGCTCTTCCTAGGGCACAGAAAAAATACATGCCACGTTGCCTCCCCCAACAATTTCAATATGCCATCAAGCTTAGTCTTCTCTAAGAAATCAACCAACCAGTTGAAACAAAGAGATATTAAACTATGATTTTAGGGAAAGTTTCTAATTCTGAGGAGATGTTTCTGTGACAATTGTGAAGCATCAATTTTCACATCACTCTGATTCCCAAGCCAGTTATTTCTTGTGTCTTATTTCTCTACTCTCATGAGATAATTCTGTAGAGTTACAGCTATGAGTGTACAGATACGAACAGTTATAGAGCAAAAATCCCTTTGCCATGAAGATCAAAACAAGACAAAACCTCTGTCACACCATGATTCACAGGCATTGTCTTATCCCATACAGTAGAAAAAGTTACTGTACAGCCTATCTTCACAATGTGCAGAGCTTCCTATGTCGGTACTAGCGACACCTTTACTGTTTTCAGACTTCTGTGTGCATGTGGGAGCAAGAAATAGTAAACACCACCCTCTGTTGCAGACTTATGTCAAAGTTGAAGGAAGGACACAACAAAGGATAAAAACATACTTTTGAGCATTGATTCCATCAATGGCCTGGATCATCCTCTCATTCAATTCCTCCTCAAATCTTCTTTTCTGTGATTTTGTTCTGAAATTAAAAATGTGGGAAGTTGCTTTGGAAAATCATTACACTGTTAATAAACATTAACTTTAAACAATGAGGTGATAGCTGGCATAAAAGTGTGAGGTTAATAACACTTTTTTTTAACATTTATGCTGCAATAGCAGCTATAGGCTTCAGGCACACTGAGCCACATAATAAGCTCTTAACAAAAACAGCATAAGCTACAGAGTCTGACACACACAGGCCAAAAAAAAAAAAATCTAGAGTTTAACTACTAGGGAGCACATAAAGAATAAATACAAGTTCAAGAAATTATGTTTGAAGGAAAGTCTTCCACAGTGTTATGAGTCCATGAAAAAGAATGGGAATATTCTCAAATTCATAAAACATTCCTGTTTCTTGTAGTTATTTTTAAAAATCCTTGTCAGAATTGTATGATGAGCAATAATGTTCTAGTGCACTGAAGCATTATAAGTATTCTCTACCGAAAGCCTGCTAACTCTTCTTTTCTTGGAAATATTGTGTTATTTTTAATAAGAAAATTGAGCACCAAGTCTGAAATTAGTTTCAAACATAAGTCATATTTCTCTATTTATAACTTATAACACAACTGCAATGAAAAAAAGGATCTTTTCACTGGACTCAGCGTGAACTCAAAAGAGGATTATCAGAATGGGTTTGTCTTTGCTAACATGTTACTGCAAACATCATCAGTCAGCAGTTGCGGTCTCCTTAAAAATGGAGTATTTCAAATACTGACAGATTATGTCTCTGCCTCCTGAAAACTTAAATCCAATGTTAACTTAATGACAGTGTTTTGTAAGAAGTCAACAGTCAGTTCTGAAATTTGACTCTTTGCTTACCAAAATTTTCTTAACCTAGAAATTGAACCCCGTGAGAGGTAATACGGAATTTCTTCAACATCAAGTTTTTGGGTTATTTCCCCAAAAGTGATAGGCTGTTGCAGGATTCAAATTCATAGAGAAATTATATTAGTGTACTTACAGTAATTTTAAACAACCCAGCTGATTTCATGCCTATTCAGTGCTACAGAATTTAGGTAAGAAAGTGTTTACAACTTGTTTTTCATATATGAAACAATCTGCCTAGGAGAAGTAACTAGACAGACGAGGAGACACTATCTAATCACACTTAATCCTCTTGGCGGATGCCTAACAACAGAAGACTATCATGTAACTAGATAAGAGCTAAGACTGCCACAAACAGAAGCCTAGTCAGGCTTCAAAACCCACATCTTCATATTCTAATAAAATACTGATATTCAAAGTGGTTATTATCATTTCAGCTCTTTCCTGTGGGAATGACTAACTAGCTTATCTAGAATCCTAGTTATATGCCTCACTGTGGACATCAGACTGCAGTAACGGTTTCTAGAAAACTCCTTCCATAATATGGTTTCAAGACACATTGTAACATTTGTACCTTTTGGATCTATTTTGGAGTGGAATTTAGAAACACAAAAGCAAGAACATATCAGAATCTTAAAGAATTGCATTATTTGCAAATACCACAGTCCAATGATCTTTCTTTTTACCATAAGGGTGATAGAAGTCCTTTCAACACACTGTCCAAATGTAAATGCTCAGTTTTAAAATCAGAGACTGCTTTTATTCATACCATGCCTATTCAGTCAAAACTTGCTCATCTTACGGAATTTAGCAATATTTTAGGTAATTGCATAGCTCTCCAGTAACCTGTGACTTGTTGAGGAGACATTTACCAAGCAGAAAGATGGGGAAGGAACAGACAAAATTACTTGTTTGCATTATCAAAGACAATAAAAATACAAATTTTTAAAGGGTTCTTTCAAATTATTTTATGGTATTTGTGTTGTTATTTACAATTTTGCAATAAAAACATTATCTGAAGTGTTATCATTAAAATAAAAATTAACCATTCTAGGTTTATGACAGTGCTAAACTTGTTTTTTAAACCAATGTCATTCTTTTCTTGATTTAGAAATGCTGTGTATTTTAAGGAAGTGAACAGTTCAACCCTGTTTCCATTTCTCACCATCTTGCCCTAGTCATTAAAACACCAAGCAGGAGAATGAAAACTTAAAGCTATTGTGATGTTGCAAACATTTTGTGGAGCAGGAGCACTACAGGAAGACCACAAGATACCTTCTGAATGTCTACTGCTGCAAACATACTACAGACTTTGAAATAATAAAACATATGCAAATACAATGCAATTAACAACATGTATAAAGTGTCTCTTTTAGTATGGATTATTAGCTGTTGTAACACAAATTATTAACAGACCCTTCCGTCTTCCCTTTTCTTATCCCTCTGTGCCTCCTCTCAATTTTCCTGCTTATCATTTTCTCCCCATTGACAGAGTAATTGGGTTGTTAGGAGAAACGAATAGTAGGCCATCAACACAGTTATACTAATTCAGAATAACATTATTTGTTAGCAGGAAGTGTATTCGCAATTCATAAGTAACATGTCTGCCCATACATTTCCATAGCCCTTATCCAGGTAAGATTTATCAGCTGAAAAACTAGTTTGGGTGCAAAATGACCCTCAATATTTGAAAGCATGCCTTATATACATATGAATGCATATGAATGTATATGTATTTATATGGACTTTATAAAAATAAGTTATTTTTTTTAATTAGTTTACCTTTCTCTGCAACGCTGAAAATGATATTGCCCCATGGGAACATCCTAAAAAACAAAAGAAAATACCTATGAACTATAATAGAGTTTGACAACATCAAGTTGCTTTAAAAATAGTGTTGAAAACAGGGTCTAGTAAGAAGAAAATTTTCCAATGCAGATACTTTCAGCATTAGATTAAAACTGTCTAAAAGAAAAATCCAGCCAAGATGGATTGAGCTGGAGACAAACTGATGTCTCATTATAATACAACAGTCTGAATCCAAGAATGTTTTGCTTTGCTAGGAAGTCACTGCTTCAAAGTCACTACTGTTTTCATGTAGCCCAAACTCCTGCCAGCTTCAGCAAAAAACAATGCTAAGTGTTTTTGAAAAAAACAGGCCTGAGTGGCCAAATATAGGCAATGGTCATTGTTTTGTATTGAAAAGCAACAGCAGCCATCACAGACACATATATTTTGTGATTAATAGTGATGGCTGGGTACTTTCTGTAATGAAAACGTCACAATCCACATTCTGATACACTGTATTTATTGAACAAGATGGGTTAGGTGGCTCAATCCCATGTTCTCATATGTAACAGGAACAAAACCGAATACCAATGCTGAAAACAGTTAGAACTCACATTTATGTTTGCACTTTTTAATAGTATAAGATAATGCAATGTACAAGCTGTGGACTGACAGCGTCTTACTGACAGCAGTAAAATAGTGTTAGCAAAATTAAAAAGAAACCTTCTTTTCACTGTAAGAGATGCAACATTGCACTACAGTGCTGTGAAACTCAGGCCATCAGCCATAGCTGGTTAGTGCACCTTCAAGAGGTAAATGTTACAGTGAGCAGAGATTTGGTTCCCAGAGAACTCTTCTAATGAAGTCCACTCCAGGTACCAAAGGGATATGCTAACTTCACAGCCTTTGCTCCAGGTTTGGCCATGTTCCAAATAGAGAATGTGACTAAACAGCCAACATATCTCGGGGAACGTCTCTATATCAAAAGTGTTCCTTCCCAAAGGTGTTGCACTCTGGCTTTATGTTCACTTCACAAGGTGAGCAGCAGCCACTCTGCATGCTATGACTGGGGCTCAAGCTCAGAGGGTCAAATTGTGTATTTTAGTAAGTACGTTGGACTCCTTATAATTCAGAGATACACTTACAGCAAGACATGGCTCCTTAGGGTCTAATCCAAAGCTGACATGCCAATGGAAAAGCTCCCAGCAGCTTCACTGGGTTTATGCCCTGTACAAAAGTGTGTATCTTTTTCTATCAGAAATAACCAGGAATTTAGCAGTGACCACCTTTTTCCTTTCAAATATTGTTAAATTGTATGAAATGACATAAGTAGGCCCCTACTGTTGTGCTAATCTTGCCGTTTTCAGTGGTCATGCTGTCCCTGTGGTGCAAGTGTGCAAATGGCTTGGCTGCTCCCCAAGATTCCAGGTACCGGGTCATGCGGACAGAAGCTCTCATTTTGGCTCCATCAAGAGTATGTCGAGGTCTAATGTGGTGCTGAGGGCTTCGCTTCTCTCCCTGGTTGACAGAGAATAAAAGGTGATATCAGCCTTGGTGTTCATTACCTTTTGAAGTAGTAATGCATCATCTGGTACCACATATCTGCATGCCTAGGAACTTAAGGATGGAGAGATGCTAAGAATCTGCAATTCTTAATTATATTGCTGGGAAATATCAGAGACTTATTTCTGAAGAGCAGGAAAGATTTGCAATGCAAACATTAGGTATTTGTAGGCATCAGTAATAGCTCTGATCAATATCTTATGGTAGTGAATTATTTAATAAAGAGATTAGTGGTCCTGCTCAAAAATAACTATGACTGGCCACAAAATAAAAGTACTACTAACCTTAGGATTGATTACAAAGTAAGTCTTAACATTATGCTCTTTCAGATATGGGTCCCTCACATCTCCATCCCCATCTTCCACTTTGTAAGCTCCATTCAAATGTGCCAAGGTGACTGAGGTGATGTGAACACGGCTGAAATTATATTTTAAAACAATGACAGAATCACAAATACCAATCAAAAGCATAATTTGAACCTGATCAACCTTTTTTACTAGCTTTTGGATATACTTTTTATATGCTCACTTCAGTTACAGTCCCTCTGATCTCATTTTTACATGTTCTAATGGGCATAAATCTAAAGATTTCCATCCACAAAAAAGTACTCCTTGAATCACAGGAAATACCGAGTGCCCTTTTTTTTTTCCCCTAAAGACAGCACTAAGAATTAGTTCAGGCTTCTCCGTGAAGGCTGATGGCTGAAGACATGGCACCTATGCATTTCTCCATGATACAAAAGTCCGTGTGTCCAACAGTTAAGAGAGAAACCTCTTACCCTGGGACTCCTCCAGCTTCCATGTGATTTGCCAGAGTAACATCATGAGACCATACATCGTACTGCCACTTCTGCAGCCCAATAACGCCGCAAAGCACATTCCCCGAGTGCACTCCTACGCGCATATTAATATCAACTCCAGTTGCGTCCCTCACTTTCCTGTAGTTGAGAAGAAAACCTGTGTCAATACACATAATAGGACCTTTTCTTTCTTTGAATTTACCAGTCAAATTAGCAGTTTCAACAGTGATAACATTCATTTATTTTTAGCATTGCCTCCATTCTTTTTATGCTAGGATTATTTTTATTTATTACCTTTCCTATTATCTATGTTTGCAACTATTTGTAGTAAATATTAATTCTCAAGTCCATGTCTGAAGTCCCTTCTTTAATACTCATCTGAAATTATTTGGGAGGGCTGAACTAAATAGTGGAAGTGTTCGGTCTCTCATTCTACAGGCAGCTTTTGGAGTTCTGGAACTACTGTTATGCGCCCTACTATCTGAAAACCCTAATATCTAGGTTAGAGGCCTTCTCATATCTGTCATATCTGAGAGGAAGGATGAAAAACACAGCACCTCAGCATATTCTACAGGCTGGTGGCTTGTACACTTTTTGGGTATATGGGCTCAGTGCCATTCAGGCTGTGGAGAAGATAGGCTCAACAGCCTTCCACATGCTTGGTGAACGCTGCACCCACTAGATCATTATACAAAGAATGAGAGGCCACCCTCACTGTCCAGACCACATCTAAACCTTTGACCTTTCCAGTGACTTTAGACAGAGTTGACGTATCGGTTCACCCCAAGCCAAATCTCAGAGAAGTCCTACATGTAAGACAGGCATTCTTTCCGGAAGAAGCTCTTCTCAATCACAGGTAGGTGACTAAAGTCAAACCATCAGAACATTTTCAGACATATGTCATATGGGTACCTAACTACATATGTAAAGAGTTACAAAATTAAATCAGATGTCTACAGGCTTATACAGTTCTTAGAAACGGCAAGATCGTAACTTAACTGGATTCATGTATTTAAGCCCCCAACTTATGTGGACCAAAACCTAATCAGTAATAAGGAACATGTACATACATGTATCTTGGAGGAATTCAGGGTGTTGATGGAAGGAACTACTATAGAATAAAAACCCTAAATGGCTCCTGTATATGAGTCAGGTTCATAGTTCTAGCAACATCTTCAGTCTCAGTGATGAGAATCATCAGCTCTGTACCTTCTGAATTACGGAACTGGCCTATGTCTCTTCTTTTTTTTGAAAGGGAACACAGAACGTAACAGCCTTAATTTGATACAGTAAAACCTACATTTAAGCAGTAGTTATCAAGTGTTCTTTTTCTGGGAAATTAAAATAACAGGAGCATGACTGAAAATATTTTATTAAACTGTGTTTTGAAGTTATTAAAGAGAGGAGAAGTTTTTTAATTCCTTCAGTCTCTATCAAAGTGCTTATTGGTATCTCTTTTCACTTTGCCATTTTACACTGCTCTTGTGTAGCTGACACACTTGAAAACGAACTGCTTGTAAATGATCTTTGTAAGCAGTCAGCAAATGACAGCTTTGCCCTGCACAGGGAATATGACACAAGCTTAACACTTTGGGGAAAAAAAGTGTTTTACAAAACTGGGCAAAGCGGAAGAGGAACATTTATCCTCTAGGAGTGCTTGTCAAAAGGCTGCCCTGCCATACTCTGCAGAGTAAGCCATAAAGTCTGCTTTATAATAAGCTCTCAGGAGTTAAGGAGGGCAGCACGTAGAATATGTTCCAGAACTGAATTGTCTCTTTTGTCTCACAAATTACAGAAACCACAGATGACTTTAAATTAGAAGTGTTACTCTGGAACAAATTAGGGTTTACTACTTCTTCCCTCCTGTGCTCCCTGAACAATTGTGATGACGATGCAGGCACTGAATGCATCTAAGAACGTAGTCTATCACATCCCCATAGGACACTTGCCTTACCTACACAAGTATATCTGAAACTTTCCACTATTATTTAATTTTCTGCTCTCACAGTCTCTCTGGCTTTCCTCAGCACACCACAGCCTGCGTGCCCATTGCGGCTGGGCAGTCAAAATACTCATCAAGACTGGATTTTTCCTATTGCAGCCTGAATTTGAGTCTGTAAGGATTCTATGTTTTTCACAGGCATGGTTAGCTTGCAGGTAGTTGTAGCAACTTTACTCCACACCAGCAAGAGCTCAGGTCATTAGGAAAGCATCTACTCTGTTTACCTGAGCTTTATTCATTAGTAATTCTGGACTAATGTATCTAAGACTCACCTAGTTCTGTCTTACACACTTTAACACATTCAGTGAGCCCTGAGCATTTAGACCCCTGCAAACTGGCAGCTTTAAAAGCAGTTCTCTTTTGGATCAGATGTGCAGGGATGAAATCATACCTACAAAAAATTATCCTATTTTGTATTGTATTGTCATCGTTTAACCCCAGCAGCAACTAGGTACCACACAGCCGCTCGCTTATTCCCCTACCCTGGTGGGATGGGGGAGCAAATCAAAGAGTACAAGTGAGAAAACTTGGGGGGTGAGATAAAGACAGTGGCAAAAGCTGCACACACAAGCAAAGCAAAACAAGCAATTTCATTCATCACTCTCCGTGGGCAGGCAGGTGTTCAGCCATCTCCAGGGAAGCAGGGCTCCATCATGTGTAACGGTTATTTGGGAAGCCAGACGCCGTAACTCCAAACATCCCTCCACCCCTTCCTGCTTCTTCCCCCAGCTTTATATGCTGAGCATGACACCGTATGGTGTGGAATATCCCTTTGGTCAGTTGGGGTCAGCTCTCCTGGCTGAGCCCTCTCCCAGCTTCTTGTGCACCCCCAACCTGCTCGCTGGAGGGACGGTGTGAGAGGCAGAAAAGGCCTTGGCTCTGTGTAAGCACTGCTCAGCAATAACAAAACATCCCTGTGTTATCAACACTGTTTCTAGCACAAATCCAAAACACAGCCCCATACTAGCTACTATGAAGAAGATAACTTTATCCCAGCCAAAACCAGAACAACCAGGTTTCAAATTGGTACAACCAGCTCATCCAACAGTTTCTTTCACTTTCCTCTGAAATGGAACCCATTTCACGCTACCAAATCAATGACAGCCTTTGAGAATGTGTGGCTGAGAAACATGTAAATTAGGAAGTCAGGAGACAGACAAGGGGATGGAGTTTGGGCTGAAGACAAACAGCATATCTATTCATACACAAAAACGTTTTGTGACTTATCAGATAAGCTCTAGCCTTAAAGCACCCAGTTAAGGTGGCCAACTCTCAACATCCCAGGCAGCACTGACATCTATGGCTTAATAAAGTGAGCATCCCACTCCTGGGCAAGCAGGCTGCAGAGTATAAGAAACACTGGATTTGCTCCAACATAGAGCAGAGAAGCAAAGCAATTAATCAACGGGACTACTAACATGTTTAAATGGAAACAATCCATAGCACAGTGAGGCTGAATTGCTCAAAATGGAGCTACACATCATTAGGAAACAAGACTGAATAAGGCTTTGAACTACAGATGACCTGGCAATTTGGTAGTATTCCTCCTTTTTGCTTCGCAGAGAACTGGAATTGAAACCATATTCAGGTGGTAAACTCTACACAGAACTGTTAATCTAAAAAGCAAATTGTTTTATTTTATTAACTTATGCACTGAGGGGTCAGTTTGCACCTCGGTGACTGAATATAACAAAAACTCGTATCTGACAAAAAAGATACTTTAGACAGAGTAAGTCAAACATATACTGAGTGACACACTTCCAACAGCAAGAGTATTACTACTTCTAGTTTTACAGGCCACAGATGTGTTTCAGTAGATGCTTCCACACAAAGATGTAGCAATCACACAACAAAATAGGGAGCTGATTAATAATGAGTAATTTTTATTCACCTGCAGGCTGTAACACTTGATATAATAATTTGAAAGCATTTGAAAACATGGGGTACAGGTTCTTCACTTCTTAGAGAGATGTAAAGAGGCTGTGATAATCATACATCTGTCTACAGGAGCGTTGTGGATTCTGAATACAGTAATAAAGTCAGATCAGAATGTGCTATACAACTAAAAGATAATTTTCTAGTCTTATAAGACTGCTCTTACCAAGGAGGACCTTATCATCCAGCATTAACAAAGAACATACTTGGTAGCAGCTTGAACAGAAAGTTATTTCAAAGAAAACTGGGAAGTTCTGAAGTGTGAGGAACTGACAGATTGCTCTCTCAGCTCAAGCAAAGCATCACATTGTGATGTGTAAAATTGTACTTTCAGTTCTTCGTGAAGTGCAATTTATGGCTTGAGCTTAGCATTGTTTTTTCACCAGCCTGTAACCTTGTACACTTTTTTCTCTTAAGTAAAAAACCAACAGGTTCACCACAAACTCTATCCAAATGCTTTTAACTCACATTTATCACACAGCACACAGATCTTTTGAAATGTAAACCAGAAAGCTCTCAGTTTCACTGAAAGGCTGGGGGAAAAACAACAACATTTTTAAGCCAACCAAGGGGCAAGGAGTCAGAACTTAGGGACAGACATTCTTTTACCTACTGCTCTACTGAAGGGACGTTAGCTTTAGTTCCTGATATGCTAGAGAATCAATTGGTTTAATCATAATAATGTTCTAGTATATCTAACTGAAAAAGAGAACGCATCCAGTGAAAGCTACTGAGGAAACAACCAAATCTGTAGATTTTAATGCTTGGCAAGGAGAAGTACTCCAAGCACCATTTAAAAAAAAGAAGATTTATTTGGACACAATGTAAGGTACAACCATATCTGGATGAAGAAAAAAATGTTTTAGAAAATGCAGCAACCTGAATCCAGTACTGAAGTTAGTTTTACAAAAGATGCCTAAAGCAAGGAGATCAATATCCTAGTTTCCACAAATGTTACACCTTTTCCATGAATACCTTAAAAGGAAAAGAACCAAATTTGCATCAATCAACCTAACCACACAGTAATTACCCGGGATGGAATCACAAGACGAAAGTTGAAACCCTCTCGTGACTACAATTACACATATATGAGGGTAGTATTTAAGGATTAGAGGAATCACTTTTGTATGCCTGTTCAGTTAATCATTGAGACAACACTGTTCAACATAACTCTCCATTTAATGATGAGGTGCACAGCACACATATACCTCACTAGGATGAGGTAATTTCTTACTTTGCTACCTGGACAGTGGTAAATGTGATTTGTGCAAAACCATCAAAACGGGAACTGAAACTTACAGAAGAGCATAACAAGTTTTAAAACCAAAGTCCAATTGTTTAAAAAAACAAATCGCACAGATGACTACCAAATATCCAGACCTCCACATGATATATATTTTTGTGAAGTGTAGTTCAGCTAGATATACTAGTCAAAGCAATACATACTTTATACTTTAGTCAAAGGAAACAGCTTTTCTACAGAAAAGATATTTGTGCCACTAACAATAACTGCTATAAGTAAACATTTACAGTATTCTAACTCCTAAAAGCTAAAAAGAACTTCAGGTATGAACATTTAATTATCTGACTGTGGTTTCAAAAAAAAAAAAAAAGCAGTGGAAGGGATTTTAATTGTCATTTCCTCACAAAATGTTTTCTAAATAAGCTAACAGAATCAGACCCTTGCTTAACAAATAAACTACAATAAACTACAAAGTTTCTGAATAGGCAGGTTTAAGACCCTTCAGCATGATATGCAGACATTTAAGATCCTCCAGCCTGACATGCAGACATCCAAACTAGATTGAAGTACCCACATACTGGAATGTGTCCAGCTTCAGTGGCAGAATTCACTGAGGGAAGGTGGCTTACAACAGAGTTATTTCTGCTCTGCACTGAGAGTTCAGATAGCAGTCAGGTGAAGAGATGAGGGGGAGTAAAGCTGCCCTTTCCTTTGAAGTCCCATAGTTTTCAGAACTGCTACAACAGTTGCCTATAATCGGTTCCCAGTCTAGTCTTCAGTAATAAGCTAGAAGATGCCTTCCAGTATGCCCGTAGCTGTATTCTCAGATGAATTAGAAGTGTTAACCCATCAGATACAACCATATTTCTTTTTCCTCTTTCGCAATCATATCAAGCCTTCTGTTATTACCTGAGTTACTTGAAATAAGTTACAATTGCTATTTCAAAAGCAATCACATTAGGATTCTCACATACCTGTTCTGTTTTCTGTTTCAAAGACAGAACAAGCACAATGATTCTGGGAAAGAAATAAGGGACAAATACAGTAACCCACAAATCCAAAATTCTGCCAAAGCACAGAATTCTCAATAGTGCCTTAATGTGTTAACTGACAAGACTTCTTAGAAAGTCCTCACCTAAAAAATTAATTAAAGAAAAGTTGAAACTAAACCTGAGGTCTCATAAGACAGGCATATTTAAATGCTTATTTAACAACATGGGAAGTAGATCTCTCAGCCCAGGAATCTGTAAGGTATTAGAAATGTCCTTGGTAGACATGCTCAGTATCACTCCACAGGCTCAGGGCTTGACACATCTTAATTGTGGAGGGGCAACTGCTCCTGACCACCACTGAATTCCAAACTCAGCAGAAGCCAGGAGCTCTGACCTTTCACAGAGCTATTTGACTAACAGGTGGGTGGCAGCATCAGGACTATGCAAAAAGCTTCCAAGTCCTAAGTGATGTCTATTGGGATATTTATAATCTTGTAATCACAGAACAGTTGAGGTCAGAAGGGACATCTGAAGATTGTCTAGTACAACTCCTGCTCAAAACAGAGCCAGCTAGAGCAGGTTGCTTAGGGCCATACCAGATTGATTTTTAGTATCTCCAAGGCTGGAAACTCCACAGCCTCCCTGGGCAACCTGTGCCAGTGCTCAGTTATCTTTACAGTGAAAAAAGTGTTTTCTGATGTTCAGAGGGAACCTCCTGCGTTTCAGTTTGTGACCATCATCTCTTGTCTTGTCAGTGGACACCATCGAAGCACCTGGCTCCATATTCTCTGCACTCCCCCTTCAGGTACTTAAATACATTGATGAGGTTTTTTCCCCCTCAGCTTTCTCTTCTCCAGGTTGAACAGTCCCAGCTCTCCCAGCCTTTCCTCATATGATCAGTGGTCCAGGCCCTTAACCAGGCCCTGCATGGTGTAGTAACGAGATAGCCTGGTGCAACCCACCATTTTAGAACATTTCTTTGCTGAGGCTGAGATCAAGATTACCACGCTGGACCTTGTAGTGAAATGCACCAACTACTGCAAGTCTGAATGTTTTAACCAGCAGCACAGCTACAGATAGAAAAGAGACAGAATTTTTACTGTTGTGTATTTAACAAAAAGCTCAGCACTTACTTAATGGCTTCACACATGTCCAGTCCCATTTTCACACAATTCTTGGCATGATTTTGAAGAGATATAGGTAGTCCAGAAACACAGTAATAGCAGTCGCCTAGGATTTTAATTCTCATACATTCATTTTCCTGAAGGAAAAAGCAAAGCGAGTTGGTCACTTTCAACTTGAATTACATAAACGAAGGGCTACTCTTACTGTTTGATTAACAAAATCATTCTACTTAAGCTGGTTTCAGTAGAAAGAGATTTGGCTTGCTAAAAGAGAAGTGCTGTCAGAGAGTTTTGTACAGATGATTCCTCCATCTGTTATGGTCCTTAATGGGCAAAACCAGGAAGTAAGTACACTGCAAAACATACATCTGCAGTGTTGTTCACACCTTGGACTAAAGAACTGAGCCAAAGTACCATGCACTCAATCTAAATAAAGTCTTTTTGTTTGAAATATGAAACCAAAAGACCCAGCCTTCCATATTTACAAATTTGAAGATGTACTTTGCAATATTTCCTGAAGTTACCAATCATAATCCTATTTCTATCTTTTTTACTCTAAGGCAATATAAAGTTTTTTTTTTTACCCAATGCTGGAAAGTAGTTTTTGAACTAATAAAAAACAAAGAAAATTTTTATCTGTTTTAGTGTTTCTGATTTCACCTTCACACACAGCATGAAGTTTGATGTAATTCTTATAAAAATGACACCTAAATAAACAGAAGAAAAATATTCTGATTGTATGTGAATATTTTCTTGAGTAATCAAGAGGCTGCAGTCAGTAATTAAAATTACTTCGATCAATATTGTCTCTCTTGTCCTTCAGTCTCTTAAATGCTTTTTCAGAGATCAGAAAAATGACTGTATCAGTTTTTTATCTTGAGTTTCTTAATCCTTGTTATTGTAAAAAATCTATTTAAAGAAAGAGGTGTTTATCTACCATCAAGCTTTATCAGGCTCCATGAGCTGTCTCTATTGGTCCTACTAGAGAGAGCTATCTTGGGTTTCACAGATTGCCTCGCTGGCAGAAACACACTGTTGCACTCAGACCAGAGCCAGATTTTTTTCTTCACACATTTAAAGTCTAATTTTCCTGCCAAAGTCTCAGAAATGCTGCCTGAAGGTAGAAGAGTCCCCAAGAAGAAGAAATATTTTAGAGATGACTTATTTAAACTAACAGTAGCAACCCAGTAGAAACCCACCTTTGCAATCTGATCAAACTTGCCAAACAGCTCATTGAGCATGTGCACCAGTTCCCCTGGTGAGCAGTCACTGGCCAGGCGAGTGAATCCCACGATATCAGCATACAAGATGCTACAATAGAAATGAACAGAAACTTGGTCACAGTTTCCTTCTGCAGAACTCAGATTTACCAATCAAGAGCAAAACCTGGAAGTGGGCATTCGGGACTTCACAGGTTATAAACAAAACAGCCACTGCTAGATGTAGAGCAATAAATATAACTACATCTATAGGTAAACCTACATTTACCTTTATAGGTGTTACACTTATAGTTAATATATACCTATATTTACCTTTACAGATATTACCTTCACAGGTATTACCTTTATAGGTATACCTATATTTGTAGATATTTATAGGCATTCTATACCTATGTTGCCATAGTGTATTCAAAAAATAAAAATATTTTTCCCGCTCACAAATTGGCAATACAAAAATGGCAATTATTTCAATAAACATGTTTATTATTAGAAATTGTTTAACAACTTTTTATCATTGTAGACATTTTCCATCTAGATTTACCTGTCAGTGATATGTAGGTATACGCTTTGTTCACTTGTTAGTCAGACTATTAAATTCAGGCTTGATTGCAAAGATATTCAAGCCATAGATTGTGTTTCTATTCACCAAGAAAACTTGACCAATTCATAGAATCAGGCAAAGGAAAAATTATTTGTGCTTGCAAGTGAAAATGAACTTCATCAAAAGTCCTGCGATACTTGCTTTAAAAAGGAAATTTCTAAGAATGCAATTCAAATTAACTTGTCCAATCAAAAAATCAGGCAAAACAACTTGTAAAGATGAAAGAATATTTGAAATAAATGGCAAATTATTTTTCTAACTTCTAGAAATTTATATTTAATAAATAATTTGATTTGTCAGCAGAATATTTTAGCTCAGGTACTGTGTAAAATAAACATGTGATACAGCTGCCTCTACTTACATTATATAAAACCTGAGCAATTTCTCCAGTTAAGACAACTACAAATTCAGAATAATATTACTGACTCGAATTACAATTTTGACTAGTATACATGAAAGCAGGATTTGGTACTTTAGCCTGAAAAATTAAGACATTATGAAGAAAGCCTGTTGATGCAAGGCTTTTTCTAAACAACTCCTTTGTATTATCACCTTTGTTGCTGTTCTGGAACATAGAACTGTTAGCATTTGATCAAATTAACAGATAATAAATACTAAGTTGTTGAAAAATATATTAAAACAATTATTTTCTTAATTGCTCTCTTAACACATTCTTTTCAAAAATTTTCTGAATGTTGTTGATACATTTTATTACAGTACAATACCTTACATTGGTGTGCCTTTTGACATACAAATTGTGGAAGTTGTTGGTGTTTTCCAGCTGGCCTGCCTTCGGACCTTGTAACCTCTGAATGATCTCTGCTTTCATTTCCATGGCAATGTGAGCAGGCAGTAAAGAAAGTAGAAGACGCTCCTAAAAATTAAAATTAAATGTCCACAATTTCTTTAAGGAGACTGGAATTAGCATGGAAGCAATGTCGTGCAAGGCATACACTATCACCGATACCCTAGAATGTTTCGATGAGGCTTGCACTGGCCTGGTATGGCCTCCAAAATTAATCAGTTCCCTGAAAAACTTGACAGAGATATATACACATTGCCAAGTAATATCTAATCTCTTCAAGGTTTTGTGTATATTAGAAAAACCTTAAGCTAAACTTAACGTCTGAAGAAGTTATGTACAATAATCTATTCAGTATCTGAGTAGGATGCAGGAAATACAAATTAGCAAATAAAGCACAAGCTGCAAGGACTGTTCAGAGGACTTCAGGGAAATGCATTCCAATTCAGGCAAGAGTAGGCTAAATAATTTTTTTGAAGTATTTTAAATATTTAGTCATAGTTTTAGCAGTTGTTAGACTGAAAATGAAAAGACAAAATCAGGACTCTGAACACATTGAAAATGTTGGACTTCTGCAGACTATTCTGATACGTACTCTTGCCTTTAATACGGCAATTTGACAAACTAAAGGTTTTTGAAAGTATTAACAGAAAAGGAAATTGAATATTAAAAAAAAAAAAGTATTTTTCCTTATGTCCTATTGGTATTACACTCATGGTCTTCTCCTTGTGAAGCTCTCTTACATCTCAGATTTTAATTTTGCCCATTTTACCTGTGATAGCTTTTCATTGAGTTCCTACTTCTCTGAAAAACTGTATCAACACGGGAATAGCTAGAACTCTGCAAAAAAATCCCCTCCTGCTTTCATCATACTTCACCTCAAAACTAAACAGGATTTTCCCATCTTTTTGTAGGAAGAGCAGAGAGGCTAATTCTGGCTAAGCACAAAAAAGAGAACCCTGAACCAGTGAGGAGGGGGAAGGTAGCTGTAAAAGCCCATGGTGGAGTCAGAGAGCGCATCAGCTATGCCAGAAAAGACAAAGACCACAAAATGTGCATGGTCTGCAGGTGTTACTCACAGTGATGCATTCTCTTTGGTTCACAACGTGTACTTTTGCAGAGTTTGCAGTTCTATTCATGAAGGTACCAGAAGAAGTGTAACCATTAATCCAATGGTCTGCCTGGGATAATTACTCCTGTTCAGGTCTAACGACCTTGAGTACAGCATGGCAATAACAGGGCTACAGCCTCTCTGGTATTTGCAGCTACCGTGGCTATCTATCTCTGTCACATACAATGAAGACTTCCCATTCCTCATAGCATTTGTGTACCTGTAAGCATAGCATTAACTTGTATGAGGCCCTGTGAAACTGATCCTGCACACACTTTGTAAAAAAACTCTTTCAGTGAATCAAGACAGAATCGTGCTTTATTGCTAAGGAATATTGTGAATGTTAAACTAATAATTTACTTTTTTTTTTCACTTTTTCATTTTGTAGGGGACAGCAGGAGAGATGGGGTATTTCCCCTTCTTTTTCTCTCCAGGCCAGACCACTATTCTGTTCTGCTTAAACGTCCTGTTGAAGCTGTTCACCATGCCAGAAATTCCCTCCAAAGAATGTTCTCCTTCCTCCATTTCCACTATACAAAAGAGAAGGTTACAACCAGAGGTGCCTTTAGAAAACTGCAAGTGGTTTTGTGGAAGTGGAAAGCACATAAAAGTGTAAGCATACTGCAAAACATCTACCATGCCCAGCTACACCTAAATGCTTCAGCCACAAAAACATTGTTCCCTCTCTTCCTGCTAAAAGATCCTAAGAAATGCAAAGAATTTAAGAACACCTCTTCCTTCATGTTTTGTCATCTCTGGTGGCTAAAAAGACCATAGTAGAAGGATCAAAACCAATTACTAATCAGATTGTATTGCCTGATGTTGTGCGCTGAAATTTCTGCAGACTGGAACAGTGTGAGGAACATAGCAAATCAAGACTGCTGCTTATGATGGCTTTTTATTTGATAATACATTCTGTAATATTCTCTCAAAAAGATGGAAAGTCTACACACCAAAACCTAGGTGAACTGACATACAAGACACTGACTTTGAGACAAAATACTTGTCGATTTGAGGTAGGCAGAAGCCACTCTCAGAGCTACGGTCTGTAAGAAAAAAAAGCCAAAGTAATTGTGAATGCACATCAAGATGCAGCATTTAAAAGTCTTCAGACTGAAAATAACATACACGCTTCTGGTGAAAGAGAAACTGCTGTGCTATGGCGATAATGAAAATCCCCTCACAAAAGTCTTTCCCTGAAATATTACCAACATGACCTCATGGCCACCGCATGCGATTCATGCACACAAGACTATTTCCTGACCATCCATGTTCTAGGGGGCTATGCTTTCCCCTCACCACTCAGATAATCTGTAGCTGAGATCTCTAACCCCTAGGGCTAAAAGACAGAGCACACAATCCATACTGAATACAACATTATAGTGTCTTTCAATACCGTAGGGTTAAGTACTTCTTTCTTCTCTGAACAAGTCCATCTCATCCCAGTAGATGGCTAACAAGTAGTCATCCTCCCTGGATTCTCTGGGGATTTTCAGTGGTATCTGTCAAACTGTTATTTGAGTTCCTATTCTCTCAAACTCTCAAACTCTCACATCCAAGTTGATTTCCTTGTCAGAATTTTCCCTGAATTATACAGATGACTTTAACAGTCATTCCCAGTTACTCATCACTCCCCTAAAGCTTGATAAAATCTAGATTTTGTTCAGCTAGAGTAATTTAGCATATCTCAGTTAAAGACCATAGCACTGTGTCAGTTTTTGCGAGGTGGCAATTGCATTTGCAGTTATCTTGCACAATGGAGGTCATGCTATTATCACACAGTAAGCAAGCAAAATATCCTCAAATGCTTGGTACAGTACATTTTAAATGCATATTTCACAAATCAAATTCTTCTTGGCCTGAGGCAATGATGCTTTGTTTATTTGCTGATTCCTGTTTTGTTATGTAAACTACAAATTCCGATTCACTCGTTTGTACAAGACTACATGACTATCAACTCTTTATCAAAACATAATAATTCTAAGAATGTATAGATTTAAAGCCCCAAAATTCTTCCATCCAGTCTGATCTCTTGAACAATGTAGACAATAGAATGCCGTCATGGAGAGAAACAAAGGTATTCTGATAGGGATCACTGCATTAAAATTAGCTTAGTGCTTTACTCTCAATGGAGAGAAATTGTCCTTCAAGGCAATTCAAAGAATCTAATACTGAATTCCTGTGGGGAGCAAGTATCTCTCCTCTCCCCGTCTATGGAGGGAACTGCACGTCCAAATTTTGATCTTATTGGAAGAAATGTCCATCTTCATTGTTAGGCTTTTGATGTTGAAGAAGTCTGCAGAAAAACTACATATGTGTAGACCAATAAAGGATTATAGGGATATTTTTGTCCTTACAATCCCATATAAGGATATATTTGTCCCTTACAATGTCATTTAGGGCACCGAATATTAAATTCCACTTTTCTGTGGTTGGGTTTTGTTTTCAGATTCCTGTGGCGTATGTCTAATCATCTATTTAGCAGGTTTGACAAACCAGGTCAATAAGTCAGCAGTGAGAGCTCTAGAAGCAATAGCCTATATATGCATCCAGCTTCACAACAAATTTTACAAATAAACATGGCTAAAATAAAATTTTCAGCTGCCTTTGAAATGTAGCAAGAAATAGCCTACAAGAAAGGAATCTTGTGATTGTAGATCACATGATGAATCAGCCATGGGGCTGACAGAGATAGAGATGGTGGTCAACAGGGTACTTGTCTGGCAAATTATGGTACTGTTTACCCATATCTCATGCACATTCTCTCAAATACACCTACTAGGATAAACAGCTGTAAATAGTTTTTTTCTTAAAGATACCTTGGACTCCTAAGTAGGAGGGAAAATGTTTTTTTAAAAATTAGGCACCCTTTAGATTTTGCCTATGTTAGTAACCTCCACCAACCTTATTACTTGTACTGAGACTGATAAATTGCATTTTACTCATATAGACCAAGAAAGTTATTCAATCTTGATTACAGAGAGACATCACAAGATGGAGAATTCATCAACTCCTTAGCTATTTGTTCTAGTGGTTAGTCAGCTGAACTGTTAAAAACTGTTAAAAATGTGTTCTGTATTTCTTACTTTGAAGCCTTGGTCCTGTTTTATCTTTCTCAGCTCAGGATTTATGTCCACACTCTTTTCCCTGTAAAGTTAAACACTGATCACATGATAACTTAATTTTCTTTTTGATCAGGTAAACAGACTTTGCTCCATAAATCTCCTGCTCCTAAGTATTTTCTACACTCTCTTCTCTGAACCCTCAACAACCTTCAAACATTTTTTGAAAGTTCATTTGACACAAATCCTAACATTGTGCCCCAGTAAACAAAGACATTCACACACGTACCCTCCATACCCTCACTCCCCTCAATATGTCCATGACTTACACTGCGCAACTTTCCACTATAACATTTCTGGAGTTCTCTGTCTGCTATGTCTCAAAAATATTTTTCAAAGTTGCAGCCTTCCAGTTTTCTAGCTATGACCCATACTCTTTGCTTTTAGAATTATGAATTTCCAGACAGTTATTATAAAATGTCTTGATGAATATAGTTTATGAAGTTTTTCATATTATGGTATTTACTATCAGACCAATATTTGGCTTTTCTGCAAAAATGATTGGCTGTGATTGTCTTCACAAACCTCTTATCATTAATAAAAATAACATAATAGCAAAAAGGATGAGAGCTGGTTCTTGCAGAACATGACACACACGCCAATTCATTGAACATCTCCACTGACAATTTCCAGTTACCCCACTCAAAATCCATTAGACTATGCTCTTTTGATGGGGAGCAGTGTCAGTATTTTTAATCAGGATGTCCAGCATCATTGCATCAAACATCTTGCTGAAATCTACTGCTTTTGGGAAGTTACTTAAACCAAACCCATTGCCCATTAAAAACTGAAAAACATTTTCATATGATTCTATTTCCTACAAAGTTGTTGAGTACCTCTCTCTATTTCTTTCCAAATACAAAAGCATCATAGCAGCATCTTTTATTTCATACTGATTTTTTATTCTCTTCCTACCTAGTGGCAGCCCCTTCCTTTGTTAGGAAGGCTTTTTTCCTGGAATACTTCCAAAACTCTGTCACTGGCCTTGACAAAAACCGGCAAGGATTCTTCCTGACATCTAGAAGTCTGCTGCATATCACAACTTTTGTCATATTGAACCATTTTTTTAATATCTCTAATTGCTGCTTTTGCTTTCAGTCATGGCTAGTACAGGCTTTACGCCACAGCTGACATCTTTTCTGATGACAGAATTATAAACTCTCATCTGTTCATTAACAGCCTCCTAAAGGGCTCCCCGTCGCTAGCAACATTCATCTATGCTTTTTTTTTTCCCCCCCTTGTGGAAAATGAGTTTCTTCAAATCCCCAAGCACAGCACTGTACGATTTTTATCTTCATGATCCTGCAGGTGAAATTTCAAGGCTGGCAATGCCAAGGAGCCAATGTCAAAACCAGAAAATCAATACACACGAGCGGAATGAGAGCACCATCCTCTCGCTCCTCACTGCTTCACTCCCTCGTGACGCCGTTTTGCAGAAGGCAAGCTGCAGGTGTCGGGGAGCTGCTCCAGTGAGAGAGGGAGCCCCGAGCAGGGGCTGCCA